ACTGCCTAAAAGACTAGAACAACGCGTGAAGAGCAATAGGGTAACTGTCTCGGTGTAGTAGAATCTTACGGGCCGTGCATAGCCACGTGACTGGAACTGGGACTAGTTCCTGACAGCGCTTCCGCGGGGCATCCCGTCGGAGCGGCCCGTGCCGCACTTTGACACGTTCGCGTTGTGATAACGTACGTACGTAAAACCAAAGATGTTCCTCCTGCATTCGGTTCGTTCCGGCCCTTCCCAACACTGACATAGGTCACACCTGTCACAAATCTCACAGAGTAGGGCCGTCTAGAGAAACACAATACGATCTTACCAGCTAGTTGCAACTGTCCAGCGTTTCGCTCTACGTAGCCTACCGACTCTCATACACGACTTCTCTTGCTGCAGAGTAGTCGGATTGGTGTCAACGCGGCCCCTTCTGCTGCTAAGATACCGTCGTGCTTGTGAGCGTGCTGGAAGCACAGTGCCACGACTGCTTCACATTCCGGTGCGGTCCGGACCGCATTCGCCGTGATCACATCATGTGACGTGACCACATCCCATGGGAAACATCCTTTGTGAGGTAAAAACCCTGAGAACTTTAGCAATATATGATCACGTGCTCATAGGATAGAGGCTTCATGCCAACGTTCAGGGCCATTTTCCAAAATTAAGGGCCGTTTCGCAACGTTATGAGCCATCTTTCAGCGCTAAGAGCTGTTTTAGCGTTAGTGCAATCCCGATGTCTCTCTGACTTCAGCCAAATGGAGTCCCCGAGACGACACTGGTAGCCGATTGCCATTATAAGCTCAGCTGCCAATTCCGTCAACAGAGTATGGGAATGGTATGGGCTTGTCACTCCTTATGGACAAATCCCGCGTTCGAGAGCTGCTACCGGTACGGGACAAGTAAGACCAACCAGCGAGTTGGGACTTGGTTGGCCCGATGCTCCAAGTCAGCGCTTCTCACCTGGCGTCTGTAATTTCAAGAGCTGGCCTCGTTCAACCAGGAGCCTTCCTGATGCGCGCAGAAACAACATTGTCTTACTCATCGTTTTGTGGTCGTTCCTGCATTAGTTTCAGTCACGTTCCTCGGGATGGGATCAGACATTCGCCTTCCGCTGATACCGTCGCGCACATTTGATATTGCTATGAATTCTCGCCCATTCTTGTAATCATGTATCGAGCTGCACCGCACAGATTCAAACCTTCAACACCGCAAACCCTAGTGCATAGGTACAGTTCTGTCTGCCCCCTAGAAAATCTCCTCCAATCCCTGTTCCCTCCACGTGGTCTTGCCCTCAGCAACATCATCCCTAACTCTCCAATATTCATGGTTAAATTTCCAATACCCCTCCCCCGTAATAGGGTGCTTGGCTCTTGTAAACCACTTGGGCTCAAACTCTTCACCTTTCGCTTCACGATTCCTCCTTCGAGCTCGTTGCGCTTCTTCAAGACGATTCTTCTCCGTCGCGGCGAGATCGTATTCGCCTTCTTCCATTGCGCGTTGGTCGGGGCGGAGGCGAGAGTCGGTGGGTGCAATGTATGGGAGTAGACGATCGGGTAGGGCGTTGAAGGTTACGACAAAGGGGGTGATGTTAAATGGGATTCCAGAGGGGCGGGGGTGGACTTCCCAGATGAGGAATGCTTGGTTTTTGCCGGATTTGGTTGGGGCTTCGACTGTGGCTTCGTAACCTGGCGTGAAGCGCGCGTAGATCTTGTCACTCCATCGTCCACCGATGCTCCAGCGAGGTTGACCGCTCGTGTCTAGGACGCGGCCGGTGACTTGGTAGGCGGAACTAGCTTTCCAACCTGTGGGTTTGAAGTCGAGGTAGCAGATCTCGCCGGTGGTCCAGTTTTTGATTTCCATAGTGCCGTAGTTGTCGACGACGGGATTGCCCGTCAGGATACCGACTACGGATGATGTGACTTTCTTCCAGGTGTAGAGCTCTTCGCCCCCTGATGCAGGGCGTAGGTGCAAGAACCAAGTGCCTAGGGGATTGAATTCAAAGGACTTTCCGTAGAATTTGGACTTCACCGCCGATTCGCCATAGTAGTCCCAACGCGGGCTTTCAGCAAACGCGGCACCAACCGGTGGATGATGTGAGACTTGCTCAATGAAGAATCGATAGCCCAGATCAGGTCTGACATATTCAAACGTCTCCCCAAGAAGAGGGTTGAACGGTTTGGCAACACGTCCAATCGTGCTGGCGTACTCTGAAGCGGCAAAGCCAGCAACGTAGACCATCCGCTCAGTTGAGTCCGTCCTCTTAGCTGCGACGTCAAGCAAGTCTGTGTACTCCATGTCTTCCACAACGCGATACAGTAACGACGTTGGCTCATTGAACGAAACTGGCAGCGTCATCTTGGTCATGTCCTTGCCAATCATTGACTTGAGAACTCCCCAGAGAGAAACCTTTGGACGATTATCAGCATCGATCTTAAGACGCTTCCGCACACCATCTTCATAACCCTTGAACGAGTTGGCAATGTGGCTGGCCTTTGCACAGTGCTCTTCTGTCTTTTGCTGAGTCAATTCAGTTGGAGGCATGGAGTCAACGACCTCAACCTCTCCTGCATCGAGGGCGTCAAAGAACTCTTGTTCATCACCGCTCTCTGCGTCAGAGACATCTAGAGTGGCAATAGTCGGCTTTCTAATTCGCATCTGCCTAGGGGCATCCTCTTGCTCATCAGTTTCTGGCAGCGTGCCTTCAAGCGCCTCCTTTAAAGCCTTCTTGGTTCGTCGTCTCTTCGTTTCAGACTCATCGATCCTGTGCTCCAAGGTCTGTTGCTCCTTTGCAATACGCGCCATGCTTTCTTCCCACAGAGCTCTTATGTTTTGCTCGCGCTCAAGTCGTTGTTGCCAGTGCACTTCGTGGTCGCGCGAGATACGCAAAAGATCCGCCACCAGCCCCTTGAGATTGCCTATAGCGGCTGTGTGAGACTCCAGAGCCTGGACTACGGTTGCATTAGAGATGGGTATGCTGGGGTTCTTGGACTGTTCCGCCTGCAATGCTTTCGTTATCTTCTCGAGTAGATCCAGCTGCAGCATTGCCGACTGAGCAGTGATTTTGTAGGCATCTTTCCTGCCAGAAATGGCATGATCATCATCATCTACTTCATCGTCATCATCACCACCGACCGTACCAGTGTTGGCTCGACTGATGTGCGTGATGGAGTCAGCATCACGCCCACCAATATCGTTGCTATCCCGAGGAAAGCTTGGGGCAGAACGCGACTCTCCCGGTGCCAAGGTGTCGTCATGTGTCTTCTGCCGATCTAAATACTCATGTCTAGCGGCTGATTGTTGAGCGGCACGGCGAGCCTCTTCCTTCTCCTCGTCCTTGGCCCATTGCATGGCATTATTCAGGGTCCAGAACCACCGCTTAGCTTCCACTTCATGGTTCGCCTTTAGTTGGTACTTGACAGATGACTTCCCCTGGATCTCGAATTGCAGTTTATCCTTTGGGTTTAACGTCAGTTTGGCAATACGCATGTTGATGGCACCACGACAGGCGGATCCCGCATCGTCTTGGTTCTTGTAGTACGACAGCACTCCATCCTCAAGCACAAACCAGCGCAGCTTGTATCCTCCCGTGTAGTTGGTCCACTTGCGCAGAAACCCTTTGAATTCGCGACTTTCTCTGCTGCCAGGTCCGGAATCCACACTAAGACGACCCCCAACCTGAGAGCCATCGCCTATGATAGTCTTTTCTTGGATGTTACGTTGAGCAACTTGAGCTGCGGGTGACTTCTTCAAGATGGCGCGCGTACGCTCGTCTTTAGTCACATCTTGAGGCAACTTGCCCTTGCGATCTCGCTGGAACGGATCAGCACCGTTGATCAGCAGAATCTGAGCGAGTTTGATGTCCTTTTTTCGCGCAGCTTCATGAAGCAGCGTTCCCCCACTCTCTGTAGTGGCCGAATCACTAGCAAGTTCCGGGCCATTCACGTCAGTTGTAGCCTGGACTTTGGGGTCGGATAGGAGTCTCTCCAGCTCATCATACTGACCAGATGTTGCCAATTGCTGGATCTCCCGCACTTTATTATCAATGTATAAAGACCTTGCGAGCTGCAGCTGTTGAAAGATATCGGCATTTCGGGCAACTTCAATTGGAACTTTGCCGTGATGATTTGTAACAGTGTCGTTGATTGAGGGCTGCTCCAGTAATAATTTCACCACAGACGCCCGGCCCAGCATCGACGCCAGATGCAAAGCCGTGTTGCCCTCTCGATCGCGCGCATTGATGTCGGTTGATTGCTGAGCAAGAACATAGTCAATGATACGATCCTCGGCACACTGAATCGCAAGATGCAAGCATGTTGTCCCTTCTAATTTGGTCCCGTCATCTGGCCTACATGCTCGTGCTACAGCAACTGTATCCCCGCTCCTCAGCGCCTCGTATATCTTGAATAGCTTCACAGATTCGTCAATCGAAACGTCATGAGCTGTGTTAGAGATAGGAAAAGGGCTGGATACTGGTGAAGTCGGGGAGAGCACAGATGTGGAAGAAACAGACATGGACTTGGCAGGCCGTAGGGACTGCGTCGATGTTCTTCGCTGTCCCGGCAGCAGCAAAGTGGAATCAGGTCTGTTGCTGCCCGTTGGGCTTAACAACGTGTCATGTGCCGAGTCTTGCATAGTGGATTGAGATCCATCGACCTTTGTTGACATGCGATGGATGGCGCGAGAGACGGCGGCCGACTTGGATCGCTTGTGCGAACTGTCAATCTGTTAGCACCCTGCGCGTATTTTGATCATTGCCATACTTGAGCGAGCCGGAATCTGCCATTAATATCTACTGGTGGCGGAATTCGATTTGCAAGTCCCTGAGGTTGTCTATGATGTCATAGGTGCACAGGAAGACGACATCAGCTTGCAGCAAGAGCCACCTCAAAGCAATTTGCCTGCGCTTTCCCAATAGGCTTAAAGAAAAGCTCTGACCATCGTGTTCGAATGGCCCAAAAAAAAAAAAAAGAAGCCACCTCAGCATCAAAGATGCCGAGTCTTTGGAATCAGACTGCCTGGACCAAGAATCGAACTTGGATCTTGGGATGACCCAATCTTTTGAGATTGATCATAAAGTCCTATGAGACCCATGTTCTAACCGTTAAACTATCCGGGCTTCGTTGAAGTGGAGTGAAGTATTTTCCAACTTAGACTCTGTTTGGGGCCGGGCTGTCGTTGGAAAGAACACGGTTGAATCCGTTTAAAATCAAAGAGCTCACTAACTTATTCCTCTACAATGCCCACTCCTCTATCTTTTCCGCTGCACTGAACTATGTACAGAGTTATAATTCGTCATGGTCGCTGTCACCATGACTGTGATCGTGTTGGGAGGTTTGGTCATGGGATTGATCATGTTCATCACCATGGCCGTGAGCGTGCGCGGCCCCCTCTTGTTGATCCGTCTTCCCTTTTCCGGAAGGCTTGGCGCTCTTTGCTTTTTTGCTCTGCGCCTTCTTCTGTTTCTTCTCCATCTTTGATACCATTTCCTTCATCGCATCAGCGAGCTTCTTCGCGCGGCCCTCAATATCCTGGGTGCTCAACGCTGGATTGTCCCATGGTTTCAACTTCCCTTGTTCATCCTCCTTTTCCTCTAACCATTTTTTAGTAGACTCCAGAACTGACTCTAAACTTTCCAAGTCGGCCTTTGAATAAGCTGGGGCGTCAGTCTCTACTGCAGGTGCGGAAGATGACTTGTCAGCTTCCTCAAGGTCCTCCAGACCATCTTTCGCTGCAGGAGGAGACGCCGCCTCGGATGCTGTCTCAACCTCACCCTTCATTACGTCTATAAATTGGCTCAGTTGGCCAAGACTCCTGCGGAGCGCATTGATAGCTTCTGGCCTCGCCGTTTCCTCTTTTCTTCTTGATATTATGGGCTCGACCAACTTTCTCAACTCACTCTTCTTATCCTTGAATGCCCCCTCGCTAGCCTTGCCCACTTGCTCATGATCTTCAAGAAATGAACTGACAGAGCTCAACAGCTTGCCAATCTCATCTCTCATAGAAGATGTCGAAACGGTGTGATAGTCCTTGTTTGCCAAGAAATCGCGTACAAAGTAGACGTAGCTCTCAAGAACATTCAACGCTTCATCGCGCGAATATCGTGCGTGATCAGAGCGGTCGAACGCAATTAAACGGCTGCGCTTGAGCTGGAATACTTCGCGAGGAAGATGAAGAGCCCCGTGAGGAGAGACAGTTAGTAAGATTGGGATTGTTTCCGTACGCGTGGTGGGCTCAGCTGCTTTTGTTGACGTAGTACTTGACTGTGATGTTGAAGTCGAGGAAGCATAGACTTCTTCGACCGGACCTTCATCTTCCTTATCTGCCAAAGGTTCTTGACCTTTATTGCCCTTCAATCCGAACAGATTTTTAACTGCGTTACCGACACTTCCCCCTTTTGAGGTGGAGTTGGTCTCGCAGCTGACAGTTGCCGAGACGATTTCAGGCAATGCCTCAACAGCACCAAGCTTGATATTAAATTTGGTAGAGACTTCGTCCTTTTCGCAGCCAAACTTGGATTTGAGTTCTTTTACGGACTCGGTGAGATTCCCAGACTGGATGCTAGCGATACGTTGCTCAACTTCATCAACAAGTTGGTACAAGTCAAAGGTGAAGTCATCCTTGTGCCTGAACGTAACCTGCTTGGTGATGGCACCATTACCGACAGTCGACATTGGGGTAAAGAGCTGCTGTTTTCGTTCCTTGCCACCATCGCTGTAGATTATTCCAGATGCATAGCCGGCAATATCAGAGTCACGAATCGCCCTCACTCTAAATGAGGGCGATAATCCGGCTCCTTTGAATGCAGCACCAAAGACAGATGATTCGTCAGCGTTGACATTGGTCCTTAGCTTAGCAGCAGAACCAGCCAACTGTTCCAGTTTACGCTGCACATACGGAGTGCGAACACAACCGCCATGGAGGATAATGCTATCCACCTCAGAAATGGACATCTTTGCTGCAGCTAAGGCTGTTTCCACCGGATTGGTGACACGGGAGAGTTGTGTCTCGGCAAGTTTCTCAAAATCAGCCCTGGTAAGCTTCATGGCAAAGTCAAGGTCTGGCAATAGTTCCTCGAATGAACTTCGAGTCTCAGCATTGGCAGACAAGACTTGCCGTGCCTTCTCAGCCTCCTTCCACAGCCGTGACATTACTCGGCCGTTAGTCTTGATATCACCTAGTTGTGTTCCGAGGGACTTCACTTCTGGCTTTTCAAGAAGCACTCGCAGATATTCATCCACAATAGCTTGATTCAGGCCATCACCTCCTAACTGTCTATCCCAACCGGTGCCTAATACAGCCACCTCTTGGACGGTCTTGTTGAACCGGCCAACGTCTTTTACAGAGCGCGATTGGAAGCGAAGCAAGGTGGCAGTGGTGGATCCAGCACCCATATCAAACACCAAATGATACTCTGGCTTTTGGCCCTTTGTGACTTCTGGAAAGTTCCTCGACTTGGCGTAATCCAAGCCAACGGCCAAACCATCGGAGATGAGTGCATTGACTTCCAGCCCTGCCAATGAGGCGGCTGTCTCAATCGCCCGACGTTCATTGGCCGTGTAAAATGGGGGCACGGCAATGACCACATCGCCAACATTCTGTCCACTTCCCGCCATTAGCTCGGCATTTCGCTTGATATTTGCCAGCTCCATAGCCAAAAGCTCCTCCACGCTCCAGACAGACTCATTTGCCACAAATGCTGCACTTTTAAAAGCGATTGAAGAGCCCGAATCCGGCTGTGCAGTCTGAAGAGCAGGATATCTCTCCGTATATGTAGCCAAAACATCACTTCCACCATTCCACGGAACCCCCAATAGCGGCTTCAGATTTGGAAAGACATCTCCTGGTAGTCTGCCTTGAAGAGCCAAGGCGTTGCTCCCATATTCTCTTTCTGGAAAAGTGCCCGGTTCTAATACAATCTTGTTTCCTGCATCCCGGATAGGCTTGAAAGCGACAGCAGAGACTTCTTTCCTTTTGGAGTCTCTGGTCAAAACAATCTCCAAGGGAATTCCAGGCTTCACTAGTACCGCTTTCAGATTGAGTGTCCCGAAATCGAGGCCAATGACTGATGAGGCAGCATTGGATGCGGCAAAGAAGAAAAAGAGTAGTAATGCCGACAGCGGCAACCGACCGGGGAGGTTCATCTTGAATCACAAACAAGATTCCACCGCTTCTCCATTCGAAGGAGGGATCTCGAAACAAAGGTGTTGGAGGTGATTGACAGCTGGCTGGATTACGTAAGCGTTGGCTGCGGAGTTTCGGCTCGGCCCGGGACTAGTCTGTGAACGTCACTTCATTGAACAGGCTGCAAAGAACCAACGACAAAGGACTGATTGTACCTCTTCGGAAGAAAATATTTCCATCTAGGAGAGAGCATGCTATGGTTGCCGCCTCGACTCCGAGGGTCTTGTTACTCTGTCTCCGGCAAGACTGAACTTGCGGCGGAGCAAAAGGCCATTGCGTTATTTGAAGTGCCTTTATAATCATCGGCCATGTCCACCTATGTTGGCAGGTTGGCTAGATGAAGGGCCTGCAACAGCTCGTTAAGTGCTTGTTCAAAACAAGCAACGAGGATCGCACCGTTACGTGTCACCGCCTGTGCCTTAGAACCGCTGCAATGCTTGCCCACGTGGATTTGAAGTGGCCTATTACCGACCACCTTCAAGTTGATGGTCCACTTCAGCTCAGCTTGGTCTATTTTTGGCAGCTAAAACTCTGTCAGAAGTTTGCCGCTTGCAGAAGGGTTGTTGAGACCGAATCCGTCTCCGAATAAAGGAGATTATGAAATGAAACCTCTTATGTATCTTGTCAGGAGTGTTTCCTCCCAGAACATCATTCACCTAGAGATATTGTCGGAGGGGTGAACCTCCAAGGACTAAAGGTGAGCGGATATCGACGACAAAAGTTTTCACTTAAATTTGACTGAAAAAGTGAAATGTAGATGTCTGTCCCTGTCTGAGGTGAGGTTCGAAACCTTCCCCACACTACCTCAGTCTAACCGCATTCGCCAGGACAACCTCAGCGAACCATGCCCTTAAGCATGAACGAGACAATGACCCGTCCCAGGGAAAACTTCCTCTATAGAGGTAAAAACTCTGAGAAGTTTCGACTTCTATCTACAGTTGTGGTCATGTTAGGTGCCACATCCTTCTGACAGATATTCACTTTGCTCTCTACTGAGGTATGAGTTCTCTCTACCCCCTCTGACAAACTCCGATTGGTCGTAGCATTACGAGGCACCGCCAATGTAGAACTTTGGAAGTAGACCTTAGGTATCATGAATATGTATTTGAATGCTGTTGAAGGGGGTGACGGTCATGTGTGACGATTTTGTTGCGGTGTGGTCTTTCCAGCAAAGTAACGGCATCGATGGACAATGTCAGGCCCCAAGTTGCAAGCCTTTCAAGCTGTTCTACAGCTTTGTACTCATACGCATAACAGAGTTCGCGTTTCCCGAGTACGAGGGGCCAATAACACCCTTTGTCTGTATTCGCAGGGGACACCAGAGCTACTTAATGTGCAGGGCCGCCCGTCCGAATTCAGTATAACTATGCGTACCCCCATCGCCTTCCTCACTGCTATCGGCTATGTTGCAGCTCAAAATCCGTACCCCCAAGTTCACTGAGGACAATGCAATGCCTGTCAATTATTGGTGGAACGTGACCAACTACTCCGCAGGCTGGGACCGGCGTACGGGTGTTGTCAGGTACAATTTCAACATCAGTGCTTCCTGGCTGTCGATGACTATCACAAAAACAACATCCATGACTTTGATGCCCACTGTTCGGGCACCAACAACAGGACCTGGATCGACTGCGATTGCCTAGTACTTTGCGACCCCATCTACAAGGTTCCGACAGTGAGCGCCATGATGGACCCAGCCTATCAGAAGATCCATGTTCTTATGACTCAGTGGGGTGCCAGCGTGTCGCGCGTTACGTGAGTTCTCTTTTGTTGATCCCTACTGGTCAACCTTTCCGTTAACATCTACGAGGCGGCGGCTAATGTCGATCCTTGCCGGTGCCTTGGTATGTCGATCGTATGATCGACATTGTAGTCGCTGATAGGCTAGTTGTTTTTGTACATAGTTCCGCCCGCCGGCTCGGGAGGGCAGTCCTG